GATGTGGGGCTCGATCCCAGGACCCTGGGATCATGACCTGAGCTGAAGGCAGACACTTAACGACTGAGCCACCCAGGCACGCTGGGTTTACGCTCATTTCTTAATGACCTTATGACCAGCTTTGAGGGCTTTTGCTAATTACAGTAAAATCTCTTTCGACTTTTTGCTAATTTCTGGTAGATCTTGTATTAAATATGTTTATTCCTACACAGTTTTTAAGTTATTCGTCTCAAATGAAGCAACATTTGTAGGTGAATGCTAGAACCACATATGTAAATAAAACTATGAAAAGGCTTAGAAGTTTTTAACATCTGAGATATCTAAGAAGGAAATAGACTGTAAGCTTTGTAGTTTTCTTTGGTTTCAGTCAAAGGTTAAAAACAAATCCGTCTCCTGGCAAATCGTTTAATGGTAGCCACTTCTGAGGGATCTGCAGGGGAAGTCTGAAAAGTGACTGAAATATGTCCCTTCTGCGTCCTTGCCTAATCTAATTTGAGAGCTTCCAAACGTCTCTACCAGCTTCTGTCCCCGAAGCAAACTTCAGTTCCTTACTCTGATTACCATAACGTCAGCAGACCCAGCTTCACTTCCACTTGCTGATAGTACTTACTAGAACGCCCAGAACACAGAGTCATCATGATCTTGCACAGATAGTTCTGTCAAGCTGAGGGCCTTTAAACAGTGTAAGCACTGAGGAATATATTCCTGGAATCATTTTTAAATTAATTGGAAGTGGCACTGCATCACTTAAATTTAGGTCTGAGGTGACAAGAACATCTCTATAACCCTTATTTCCCATTCACTGCAGCTCTAATGGGCTTGGCATCCGGTGGTAAGAGGCACTCGATGTAATGTGGAAGGGCAATTTGGTGACAGAGAGACCAAATCACAGGGACTTGCTCAGTTTAAAACGGGAGGTAATGACCAATGTCGTATTTTGTTTTCTGTGGGGGGGATGTCTAAGGTTGGCCTAAGCCAAGAGGGCGGGAAAAAAAAAAAATTGGCTTTTTTTTGGCATATTGCCAAAATACCTCTTCTAAAAACCCATGAGTTTCTTTTTATAAGTAAAATAGGGCTGCAAGCATTTTATAAAGTGGGAATGTGCAACAATTACTAGAAAAGATAAGCTCTGCCATGAAAGCCTTGTTTCAAAGCCTGACACAAATCAGGCTTAATCACCTCAGGAATGTTACCAGCCTTATTCCACTCGAGGAGAAGTATCCTTGATTTCATTTGGGTTTTCTTTTTCTTTGTCCTTATTTCTAATACTGAGCATAGAAAATTGGACTCCCATGAGCAGATCTCTCTAAATAAAGCACTGTGGAGTGAAGACCTGGTAACCTACGCTTCCCCCCTACGCTTTGTTGTGAAAGGTACCTGTTATTGGTTGGTCACTTAGAAATATCTAAGAATCTATAAAACATTTTTATATGTGTATGTTGATATATTTATATATATTATTATTCATTTACCAGTGTACCCGAAAATGAAGTGGTCACTCAAATTGAATTTTCCTAACTGAATAATTTCTAATAATTTTAAGAAGAAATCTTTTTTTTTAATGTGTTATGTATCTTTCCACAATGTAGACTGTGCCAAATGTAATTTTACAAGGTTTTGATGACTTAGATATATCAGTTATTGTTTTCTTCTTGTGTTAATGGATTCTGGCCTTTTATAGTTCTTTATTCTTTTTGTAATTTTTCTCAATCCTAGTTTGGCTCTTATTTTTTCCTTCCCCTATTCCATTTACTTCTGAAATGCTGCTGCCTTATTTTATACATTTTATGCTAGGTTCCTTGCTTTGCCCTTAAATTTTCTCCTTCACAGGGTCCATCTGCTCCGGTGGCTTCATCCACACGCAGAAGGCTGCTAGGTCTGCATCTCTAGTCGACCTCTGAGCTCCTTGCCCATACACCCACTTGCCTGGACACTGATGCTTGGATGTCCTGCAGGCATCACGTGTGTTCCCACCTGAATGTTATTTACTGCCCCTCATCCCGTCCCCACCCTGCATCCTACTCCTGGATCACTCACGGTGAACGGCAGCGTCATCCATAGAGCTGCCCAGAGAGAAAAGCTGGATTCTGTTCATGACCACACTCTTTCTCACCCCTGTATCTAATCACTCACCAAGTCTTGTTTCTCCCACACTCCCACTGCCATTGTAGCTGGAGGTGTCTCCCTGTCGCAAGATTGTCACGACGGACCTCTGTTTTCCCTGCCTGCAGCCCAGCCTCTCCATAGTCCTTTCTCAACACTTTGCAAGAGGCTCTGGCCTTCATCTTCCCCAGACTTCTCCCTGCATGTCTTCCTCACTCGGCCTTTCTTATGTCACCCTGGGCGAGTGTCCATGCTGCTCCCAAAGGCCCACCACGGCCATCTGTCAGAGGACCTTGCTCCCAGAATTATCCTCAGCCTTTGCTGAATGTCAGTTTTCCCTCCACTGCAGTGTGTATGGACATGCTCCAGGTTCTCCCGCCTCTACAGATTCTGTCTTGATGTTCCTCATCTTGCTCCACCTGTCAGCCCGTTTGTCTCCTTCCCTTCCCTAGAAAAGATTTCCTGAGCGATCTGCCGTGGTCACTGCCTGCACTCCCCCCCTCTCCCCTCACTTCAGCCTCTTCCCCAGCTGTGGGGGAAACTGCTGGTCAGGGTCCCCATGTCCTCCGTGTTGCCACACCCGGGTCTTCTCTTCATCACCCCATTACTTGACCTCTCAATGATATTTGGCACGGTTGAGCATTCTCTCCTCCACGAAACGCTGTCTCTTGGCTTCTGAGACACCTTCGACCTCACTGGCTATTTTTGCACATCTTTGCTGGCTGCTCCCTGGCAGACCTCTAAACATGGGGCATCCAGTGGCTTTGTATTTGCACCCTTCAGGTTTCTTTCTGTGCTCGGTCCCTCAGTCCCCTCAACTATAGTCCTCGGCATTTTAAACAATCTGATGTCGGATTTGCCCCACAACTGCATGTTGTACATCATCAGTTGTGTGTCCCAGTGCACGCCAGCAACCTGTGTCTTATCCAGAACTCTCGGTTTCCTCACCACCTCCCCTCCCGGCTTGCTGCTCCCCTCGTCTTCACAGTTTCTGCCATTTCAGTGGCTCACTTTTCCCTTGAGAATAAAGTCCAAGTTCCTTGAAATGGTTTGGTCCCTCTGTGATCTGGCTCCTACTTATTCTTTAACCCACTGGTTCTTAATGGGGGCATTTTGACTTCCCCTCCCCACAGAAGAAAGATTTGGCAACATCCACAGACAGTTTTGGTTGTCATAACGGTGGGGGTGCTGGTGGCATCTAGTGGATAGAGGCCAGGGATGCAGCTCAGCGGCCTGCACTGCACAAGACAGGCCCCACAAAGAGGGATCTGGTGCAAATGTCCGCACCGCTGCGCTCGAGAGTCTGGCTGGTTCTCTGTTGCACTCAGAGTTCTAGCCTTGCTGAAAGGCCATGTTCTTCTAGCCTCTGAGCCTTGTCCTTGCTAATGTCCCCACTGAACACTCCTTCCTCTTCCTACTGTTCTGCTGCTGGCTCTGTTCCTTGCCTAGATGGGGTCTTGAGGCAAACTAATCTCTAGCCGTTACAACAGGGAGTTAATCTGTTCTGGCAGTTGTGAGACTGTAAAGGTAATGTAAGTTTCTACCTTCAGGTAAATGTAAGTTTCTACCTAAATTGAGGGTAACTTCGGTGTACAAACATAGTCTTCATATCATTTTGTTTAGATGAATAGAACTGTTATCAAGGACTGTGGTATTATTTCTATTAATCCAACTGCAGAGAATAATTGGAGTGAATTCATAAAACTGCACCCATGCAGTTAAAGCCCAAATCCATAAAATTTAGTTTTGTCAGTTTTAAGCTACGATTTGGGCTATTTAAACACCTACCAGTGAGTTTTAGTTTCTTTGTTTTTCATGTTTTGTGCTTCATTAAAATATTTCCTTTTGAATGATTAATACATGTGGCTCTTTTTTTTTTTTTTTAAGATTTTATTTATTTATTTGAGAGAGAGAATGAGAGACAGAGAGCATAAGAGGGAAGAGGGAAGAGGGCAGAGGAAGAAGCAGACCCCTTGCTGAGCAGGGAGCCCGATGTGGGACTCGATCCCGGGACTCGAGGATCATGACCTGAGCCGAAGGCAGTTGCTTAACCAACTGAGCCACCCAGGTGCCCACATGTGGCTCTTTTAAGTGCATCAAAAATTATGTGTAGATGATGCCTTTAAAGAACAGAAGAAGTGAGATTTGGGTACTTTGTTAGATGAACTTGCCAATTCCTGTTATGATATTTGAATACCATCAATGGAAGTTGACTGCAGTGTTTTGACTTGACAGTCTGCTTTTATCAGGAAACAAAGCTTTGTGGCCCTACTTTTGTCCCTCCCCAGCATTCCTAGTATCACGGACAAAGGAAAATGCTTTAAGGTGCTCGTATTTGTAAAGACCCCCGCACAAGGATTACAAAGTTATATAGATTTTAGTATAAGAGCAATAGAAGCACAGCCCACTAATTCGTCTTAAAACTACAATTTGCATTTTATGATTTTTAAATCACTCAAAGAAGACTTTTAAAATAATTATGTTTATATAATGCTCTGCTTGCTGGTGAGTTTATAGCTTACAATATTAATTAATACTGCTTTCATTGCAGCTTCTCTCTCGCTTTTTTTTTTTTCATATCAGGAGTTTTGTGCAGTGGTTATTTTTTAAAAGCTTTCCAAAGAACAAAACATTTTTTTTTAAAGAATGAAAATATTCTCTCTGCCATTGCATATTTGTTTTACTGTGTTTCTAGCACTGTAGAATTTTTTTCTTTTTGTATGTTCTGACTTGGTAGGTATTGGCTTTGGCTTTGAAAACAGTTAAATCTTTTAGCTTATCCATATCTTTATCTGAAATTTATACATCAGCCTTGCTAAGAAACCCCAAACAGGCCCTACACATTTTACCTACCCCTTAATTTAGAACTTTGGCACCAGGTGGATTCTCCAGCTGTGCCTTCCCATTTCTCTCACCTTTCTGTCCTCTAGCCTTACTTCACTGGGTTCTATACTCGTTCTTTTCTACCGTGAATATTTACTGAATTCACTCACCAAGCTCTGACCTAGAGGGTAGTGATAGGCTCTAAATACAAGGTGATCTCTTTGGAGTGACAAATTCCCAAGTAATTACATTTAATAACGTGTGATAAGTCCTACAATGGAGAGGGGTACAAAAGACTCTGGTGGCATAGGATTTTTAAAAGTCACTTCTGCTTGGGGGATTGAAGACTAAGAGGATGGAATACTTGAACCAGACTCCTAGATAGGAAAAGGGCAGAGGAGCTGGGGTGAGAGTCCACGCAGCAAGAATAGAATGACTTACTTGCAGCCATTGCTTGTCCAGAGACTTGCTGGTCATCTTCATTTCCTGCTTCCTCCCTCCTAAGTGATATAATCAAGCATAATCCTGCCATCAGCTATAATATTATGCTGTATTTTGAATAGATAATTTGAGTTAGGTTTTCCATTCAAAAGGAATAAAGAGCCACCGAAGACAGGTCATTAGGGAGCTGTCTGGCTGTATTTATTTAGCTTTGCACATCTTTGAGTAGACCTAAATCTGCTCTGGAGGTCATGTACATCTCTTTGTCTTTCTTAGTTCTTCCCTTCTTATCTCAAGACTTACTGTAAATAAAAAGCTGCTTTGTTTGAGGTATTTTTATTTTGGAGAGTGTTATTTTCTCAAAATTGATTTAGTTGTGGCTAAGGGGAAAAACTGAAGAGGCAGCTGTCAGAGATTTTATTTCTGAAGAGGTTCAAACTCTAGAAAGAAAATTACTTTAGAAAGAAGTCATCTAGCTAAGAGTCTTTATGTGCTTGAATTTCGTCCTCAAGAACACTTACCTTAGAAAATGACTTGACTGGTCAAAGGAATCATTATAGGAAGAAGGTGGGAACAGGCATCAGGTTAAAACATTTCAGTTATGAATGGGATAAAAGAAACCGTCAAAAGTTGGTCTTTTAAAAGGATCCCTCTAAGATGTTAGCCATCATTAAATAAAGATGATCATTTTAAAAATTCCAGTTTTCAGTTTGACAAATGGTTACCATAAGTCTGACCACCATTGTGGAGAGGACTCAGGTATGTGGTGCTCTCACCATGGTGTGTGTCATGGAGCTTGTGACCCCATACTCTCTAAATGGGGTGTCTGGTCCCTGCTATAGTGCCGAGTCACACTGAAACAGGATTGCAAGAACTCCACTAATAGCCACACTTTTCCAGCCCTCACCAACTCCTTTGCTTATTATTCCTGTCTTTCTGGATGGCATTTCAGTGGCGGAAAGAATAAGAATAGCTTTCCAAGGCCAAAATATGAAATATTCATTTTGTCAAGATTTGGTGTTCTGAAACTGAAATGCTTTTGCTTGTTTGTTTGTTTTCTGACTGGGAGGGGGCTGTGAATGCTAAGAGCCCTATTAAGGAAAAGCATATTGCTTGCTTAGAAGGAGAGGAGAACTTTGAGGAATGATTATATGGTCAGAATTCTATTTACAAGTGGGGAGAAAGTGCCATTATTTTTATTTGGACTTTTGTAGTTTACTGGGTTTATTAGAGGATATATATTTCATCAGATGTAAAGCTGCTATCTTCTTAGTAACTTCCAAGGAAGTCCATAAGACTGACCAGAGAAATGCAGAGGAAGGCAAGATATACTGATGCCCTGTTGTGTACTGGCTAATACTTGTTTTACTGTTTTAATCAGTTATCTGATTTGTGCGTTGGCCAAAATTTGCCATTTTAAGGACATTTAAGATCTGTCTTCATTTTAATAGAAGGCTATCGCCCCACCTGTCGACTTGAGAAGTCGTTTTTAATCAGGACTCTGAATCACAAGCTTTCCTTTGGCATGAGAAAGAAGTAACAGCGTCTCGCCGTTGAGTTTTCGCTGTTGGACTAGCTAGCGCACAGTCGGCCACTTCACCTGTTGTCAGCTGCTGTGACTTCCCCACAGCTGTGGGTCATGGTCGTGACTGCTACAAAGGCAGTGGGACCTTTCCAAATAGAAAGTTCTCAAATTGGATACAACATAAAACAGGAGCCCCACTTCTCCTACAGATGCAGAGAAATGGTGAAGGCGACCATTTGGAGACAGAGCACACACACCTTATTCTTCCCGGCAGGGATACAGTTCAGAAAACTTAACCCTATTTTTATCTGTACTTACTGGGATTATTTTTACTTGGCATCTGTAGCAAAAATAGAAAATCAGTAATCCCAGGGATCTGTGTTGAGCCATCATACACGTTAAAGATTGCAGAGAATTCGTGTTTATAAAACTTTCACTCCCGAATTGATTTGCTAGAGAAGCCCTTTTCCCACCCCAGTCCGAGGCGAGTACTTTCCTGGAGGCCCTTGAGATGTCCCGCGGGCTGGCCGCCAAGTGCAGCCGCAGTAGGGGCTGCGGGGCCCTCCGGCACCACGGCCTCGCGCAGCCGCAGTAGTGGCCTGAGGGGCCTCCCAACAGCCACGGGCTTGCGCAGCCGCAGTAGCAGGCGGAGGGGCGTCTAACGGTTACCAGGCGCCTTCCTTCACGCCTCAGAGCTTGTCTCTCGTTTCCTTCGGTTCTCTTCCTCCATCTCTGGAGTAAGTGGCCATGAGATGGGCTGTGGGAGTCCTGCGGGCCGGCCGGAGAGTGGGCGCTGGGAGAGTGAATTCGCCGTGTCCCCGCCGGCCGGGGGGCCTCCCGCTCACGGGCGCCTGGGCCGTCACCCCCGTGTCCAAGATGGCAACCGTCAGGTGTGAGCTTATCAAGAATTTTACTTCCGAGGAGGCCGTTCATCACAACAAGGTCTCCATTATAGGAACCGGATCGGTTGGCATGGCCTGTGCTATCAGCATCCTGTTAAGGGGCTTGACCGATGAACTCGCCCTTGTGGATGTTAATGAAGACAAACTGAAGGGTGAGACAATGGATCTTCAGCATGGCAGCCCTTTCGTGAAAATGCCGACTATTGTGTCCAGCAAAGATTACCTTGTCACTGCAAACTCCAGCCTCGTGGTCATCACAGCAGGGGCACGCCAGGAAAAAGGGGAGACACGCCTTAATTTAGTCCAGCGAAATGTGGACATCTTTAAATTAATGATTTCCAGCATCACCCAATATAGCCCTCGCTGCAAAATGATTGTTGTTTCCAATCCAGTGGATATATTAACTTATGTGACCTGGAAGTTGAGTGAATTTCCCCAAAACCGTGTTATTGGAAGCGGTTGTAATCTGGACACTGCCCGTTTCCGTTTCTTGATTGGGCAGAAGCTTGGTATCCACTCTGAGAGCTGTCATGGGTGGGTCCTTGGAGAGCATGGAGACTCGAGTGTTCCTGTGTGGAGTGGAGTGAACGTCGCCGGTGTCCCTCTGAAGAATCTGAACTCAGATATAGGCACTGATCAAGATCCTGAGCAGTGGAAAAATGTCCACAAAGATGTGATTGCTAGTGCCTATGAGATTATTAAAATGAAAGGTTATACTTCTTGGGCCATTGGCCTATCTGTAGCTGATTTAACAGAAAGTATTTTGAAGAATCTTAGAAGAGTGCATCCAGTTTCCACCATAATTAAGGGTCTCTATGGAATAAACGAAGAAGTATTCCTCAGTGTTCCATGTATCTTGGGAGAGAGTGGTATTGCAGACCTTATAAAGATAAAGCTGACCACTGAAGAACAGGCTTGTCTGAAGAAGAGTGCAGAAACACTTTGGGAAATCCAGAAGGAGCTCAAGCTTTAAAGTTGCTTGAAACTACCTTTCTGAAGTTACTGAAGGGATAGTAATTAACAGGGTTTTGTATGTCTAATTTTTTTTTATAAGCTTGAATTTCTAGAAGTTGGAAACAGGAAAGGAAGTAGAGTGAGTTACCTGTTTATTTAGCCCCCCAGCTTTTTTATTTAGTATCCCGATGTCAGGATGATTTTTTTCCCCCACAATTATTAAGTGATTGCATCAAAGAAGGTGTTTTTGTACCACTAATATAGCAGTACTTGCTGTGTGTGTGTGGTTGCGGTTGCTCTTTGGTCCAAAAAGGATTAGGATGTAGGTGTTTGTGTTACAGAAATGATAATTTTCATTAAGTACATGTTCTTTCATTCTGGATGGCTTATACTTACTGTGTTCATTTATATACTGTTTTTAAGATGTTGTAATTTCCTCTACAATGTAAAAATAAATGTACATACAGAAGTACTTTCTGTATTGGAGCCGTCAGCTGTCTTCATTCCCCTGTGACTATCAGCTGGGCCTTAAAAAAAAAGGCATTATAAAACGGAGGCTGTGAGTAGGTCCTGTTTGTTGGGGGGGAGGGGCACACACATGCTCGTGTATGGATGCCAGTGAAGCAGGATCATTAGGTTAAAATATGAAAAAAGGAGTGATCTGGTTGGTAGCACTTATAAAGAGTTTAATGCAGTAAAATGTAAAGCTTTTAGAAAGAGGCCTGACAGATGGCAAGTGTTACTGTCATTTGTTCAGCAGGGAAAGGAAACATACTTAAATTTTGGAGTTGATAAAAACAAAGCCTGACTAAAATTATTTTAGAACTGGCTCTGAGATCCTGACCTGTTAGCACGTTAAATCAGGAAGCGTGTTACAGACTGTTCTTGTTAGGCCTGGTTTTATCAGCAGAGTGGGCCCTGGCCCTAAGATGCTCCAGGGTCATCCCTGTTGCTCAGTTTACTTCACATTAACAGAAAGCTCTTGTTTTTGAATTTTGCCCTGTTGTTAATCATTGTCATAAAAATTGGTTATTTTAATGAGTACTTCAGAGATTTTATTTCTCAGAAAGTTACACATTCACTTTTTATTCCTAAATCAGTTGACTTTACTATAGATTCTAGACTATGCATGTGATACAGTGTGGGTTTAGGAGAAAGTGAAGCTGCTTATCAGACCTTTACCTAAATGATATACTAATAACTTAGAAAATAAGATTTTTTTAAAAGATCTGTTTATTTTAGAGAGCGAGCCCATGCAGGAGGGGCAGAGGTATAGGGAGAGAGAATCTCAAGCGGACTCTGCTGAGTACAGAGCCTGACACAGGGCTCCATCTCACGACCTTGAGATCACGACCTGAGCTGAAGCCAAGAGTCGGATGCTTCACCAGCTGCACCACCCAGGTGCCCTGAGAAAGATTTTTAAATTCATGTTAGCTTTCCTAATGCAATTGAATATTAAATAATATGGTGTGTTCAAACATATCTCAGGATCCATGTGGATATCTGCAGGGCTAAACAAAATTGAAAGGTATCAGCATCTCCTCTCTAAAGTCAGTCCTGGGGCGCCTGGGGGGGCTCAGTTGGTTAAGGGTCTGCCTTTGCCTCAGGTCATGATCCCAGGGTCCTGGGATCAAGTCCCACATTGGGCTTCCTGCTCGGAGGAGAGTCTGCTTCTCCCTCTTCCTGCCACTCCCCCTGCTTGTTCTCTCTCTCTCTCTGACGAATAAATTTAAAAAAATAAAATAAGCCAGTCCTGCTTAGTTGATAGACCTAGAACAGCAATTCACCCCAAAAAATGACCCTTTACCATAGTGATCAGAACTCCCATACTATTTTATTGGAAACATCTAGAAATATTCTGATTACCCAGGAAGTAGTATCATATAATGGGACTAATTGTTGTACTGAGCTCTCTGAAAGTGGGGAGAATGGTGGTTTGGTGGTTCCAGCTGATTCTAAGAGCTATTTAAGCTTAACTGCACAGAGTTTCTCTTCCCTTTTGTCCAGCCCTTGAGTTTTTATTCAGCCATGTTTCGGCCAAGTTTAGTGTAATTTTGAGGGGGATCAGAGAATGCCCTAGGTCTGTTTTGTAATTCTTTTCACTATGTCAGTCAGGATAGGCTGGGTTATACTACATTGAAAAAACAGTCTCCAGATGTGTAGCTTAAAATAACAACGGTTTATTTCTCTTGTAAAATCCACTGTGGGTTTACTTGAGTCTCTAGGGGAGCTGTCCTACACAAGGTGGCTTCGTACCTCAGATTGTTTTGATCTTGAGACACCTCTGTAGTAACACAGGATTCCATTATTTCCATGGAAAGGTAAGAGTGGCCTGGAAACAGCTGCAGTTAAATGCTTCACCTTGCAAGTGATGCACATTTCTTTTGCCAGAACTAGTCATGTGGTTACCTAACTTCAAGAGGGTGGAGAAGTATAACCTCCCTATATCGAGAAGTACATGATCTCTGGTTATCAGTGAACATTGATAATAATCTGCCATACCATTCTAAATAAAATAGTAGCCATTGTAAGAGTATATATGCTTTTGAAGTCATTTTTAGTGTAAGAGGGTGTGTGATTAGAGGTTATAGAGGTACCAAGTCTTTCCAGGTCACAGAACCAGCGTGGCTATGGAGAAAGAGCCTGGGACATCATTCAGTCAGTTGTACTTAGAAAGCACGTCACCATGGCTGGGTTAACCTCTCTGACCTCTGGTTTCTCATATGTAAAGTGGTGGTTCTCATTTCTGCCACATAGAATTATAAACACTAAATAATAGCCTGATGCTTGGTACAGTGCCTGGCACCTAGGTAATCTCAAATGGCAGACATTTTTATTCCTGTTCAAGTAACAGTTATAGTCTTATTCTATTTTATGGAAAAGCTGCATTTCCAGGTTTTTCAAAATTACTCTTGGCACCAGAATTATTGACATATCCAAAGGCTTTCTTATCAGTTGGTTCTATAAAGCTTTCATCATTCTACCTCCGGCACTGAAGTCCTGCAAGAGGTAATTGAAGTTAAATGAGCTAGTCAATGGCAAAGACATTTTACAACTTGAGCTTTTAATTCCAAATAACTGCTTATTTTTTTAAGAATAGATGCTCTAAGGGTTTTCTCAAATTAATTGGGTACATATCCTGAGCTTTTAAGGAGTTTTTCAGCACACCATATATTAGACCAAAAGTCTTCATGTTTTTTTTCCTGCCAAGACATGCATGATAAATGTGCAGCAGTATCCCGTGTTTCACTCCTGGCATACTAGCTATATGGCCCTTCAAAAAGCTGGTGTAATGTGAATGAGAGTAACATTATTAGAGGCATAATCTTGAATCTGTTCTAATATCTAAAAAGTTGCTCCTACCCGGTCTTCAGAATGTCCATATTAGTGACAAAGTACTTATAATAGGTTTCCCAACTGTCATGACATTGTATTTGAGAACTGCCTTCAGAAAGTATACTTTCTGATCATATGACAACCCATCACTGTCGGACACAAACACTGGGACTTAAGGATGAGGTTCTTGAGCAGTAGGCTCGTTGCCCAGGGGGTGCCGTTCCTGTCTTAGTCTTTGTGGAGGGCAGCGCCTGGAGTTGGGCAGTACACACAGTGGCCCTGTTTAGAAGGGTAGCCCTGTGACCCATAGCCAAGGTCAGATTCTCCCTGGTCAGAGGAAAGAGGGCAAGAGGAGAGAAGAGATCCCAGAGTTTGCAAAATGCTGCAGAGTAAAACTGAGTTACTGGATAGAGACTAGTTCCCAGCATGCCCCAACCTCACCAAACTTTTGGGATATAAGGTAGGGCATGGCTTATGGCAATAGCTGTCATTGTTATTGTGGAATCCAGTACATTGGTGTTATAATTAAATTTGCTTAAATTAACTTAACCCCTAAATCTTTTCAAGCATATTTTTAAGCAGGAGAAGGTTCTATTGGCCTGTGATAGAGTATCACTGATAAGACCAACACCTCTGAACTGCATATCAGAAATTGACAGAGGTAAAAAAAAAAAAAAAAGCTTTCATTTCCTATCCATATAACAAAAATAGAACAAACTTAAAAATCTGCTGTGGAAACCCTTGTTTAAGGCAACATGAAGCCCTGTTTATAACCTAAATGTGGACTCTGGGTTTCCATTTCCACAGCTGTAAAATTAAAGAAGAGGCCTAAATGGTGTTCTTTATCTACTTGCCTCCCTTCCTTTACTTCTCTTTGAAGCCTGTCTATTCCTAATTGGCTCTTTTTCAGATATGATTCCTTCCGGTGGTTCAGTAACTCATTTATGACTCTGGGAGCAAGTAAATGTTACAATACTTGGGAAATTAAAGACAAGAAAAAAAAAATCAGTCCAAGAGGAGGAAATGAGAACACAGGTCCCCATGCTGAAGTAGAGCAGTGACTCTACTCCCCAGACCTCATCTGCGTTCCCCAGCTTCTCCCTTCTCAGCAACTGCCCATGTTCCACATCCCTGAGAAGGTGAAATGGTAAATGATTCTCTTCATGTCCTCACTCTCTGACTCCCCATTTGAAAACTGTCGTTAGGTTTAGTTGTGACAGATGTTCAACCAGTAAAGGTGAAGGGAAAGAACTAGGCAGCACATTGCAGACCCTGGCCAGAGAGGTCTTTGAACTGAGAAAGTCTATGCAAAAGATTCCTCAACGGGGCCATGTTGGTATTTTAGACAACGCAATTCTTTTTTTTTTTTTTTTTAGATTTTATTT